ACAGCGTGGATTAAAAGACTGCAATGAACCTACTATGTCCATTACAGTACCACGACAGACATAGCATGTCTGTGGCAGTATTTTTTCATGCAAAAAAAGCACGGGAAACTGCCACGGCTCTCGTAGTTCTGTGGCAGTTTTTAAGTCAAAACCGCATTGGACATAGAGAGAGAGAGAGAAGTGCCTTGCATGAAGCTCTAATGGCACAAAAATTGTCATGCTTTTCAATTTATTGGTAACTAAATTGTGCCATAATAATCAAATGGTCGATTCAACAATTTTCTTAAGATTTTTTTATTTGAGATATCTATTTATTACAAAATATTAAAATTTTAAATTTTAAATATTTTTTGGTTTAAAACAAGGGATTTTATACTATAAGAATGTTTGCTTTGTATACAAGGTCATAAGAACCCCTAGCCACCATATGTGAAATATGGCGGCCAAAGGTGTGCCACAAAAGTTTGACACATTTTTCTGGACATTGAACCCAGTGAATCAACTCTAACTACTAGTGGTGATTTCGACCATGATGTACCAAAGATAAATGGTTTTTGTTGTATACTTTTTCTTAAAATAATTAGCGTCAGATAAATGGTTTTATTGTATACTTTTTCTTAAAATAATTAGTGTCAATTCGACTGAGATTTGAAATTTTGGCATCAAGAGAGACTTGACTTGGTTGGAATTAATGATAGATATGGCCTTGCTTAGATATAGTGATTAATTAGGAATATTGGAGGTCAAAAGGAGTTTTGGAGAGTTGTTCAAAATTCCTACTTATTCTCTCAATTGGTACTCTTATTTTATTCTCGTGTGTGTGTGTGTTATTGAATAAGTCTTGCTGCATTTCATTTGGTAATGTAATCTGATAAATAAGATTTTCACTCTAGGTATTGGGTCATGGTACACTAGCTTGGATTCTCTGGTTGAGAGCCAGATCTCTTGATCTAAAGAGTAAAGTGGCAATAACATCCTTTTATATGTTCATTTGGAAGGTATTGCATGGAAATTTTTCGTGATTGTAATTATTTTTTTGTGTTTTTGTTCTTATAGGACTTCAGAGCTAATAAGTCTTCTTTGAACCTGCAGCTTTTCTACATGGAATACCTGCTAATCCCATTCGTGCGATGACATGAGCTTATGTCTGCAAATTAAGCTTCTGTGGTTTAGTGTTTATAAATCATAGTCGGCAATTTTAATAACTAATGCTTAGCAATCCCTTAGGATGCTACATCATATGGCCTTGTTTGTGAAATTTTGATGATATTTGAAATTTTAGTCATTTATTTGTCATTTAGGAGATATTCTTTTCCCAATTTCAGTTATTACAGTATTAATGAGTCACCAGTTACAATGGCAACTTCCTTGTTATGAGTTAATGGCAACTTCCATGTTCTGAGTTACTTGACTTGATGCAATTTTTTTTTTAGTGATAGAGAAACTGTTACCAAATCTGACATTTGTTTGTTGGGATTACATACAATGACACCGTGTACTTTTGATACACAATTACTTACAACCATCTCACATGTGTTATAAAACCCACATGTGTTATAAAGTGTTAGAGAAATTTTTTTTTGAATTTTGAGCTTGGTTAATAAATAAATGCAGCCATCCAATTTATCCAATTGCAAGATTAATTGTGGCCACTTTATACTAAATGGTTTTATTGTATACTTTCTCATGCATTTTGAAGGCCATGCCTGTGCATCTTGGATTTAAATAATAACCAGAGTTGCTCCTTATTGACCAATATATAAGCTAGCAATGAACAGCAAATATTACAACAGTAGTACATAACCAGAGTTGCTCCTTATTGACCAATATATAAGCTAGCAATGAACAGAAAATATTACAACAGTAGTACATATTTCCTGATTGACTAATAAATCTGGACCTCATTAAGCAATTAATCAGCATACACGCACAATTCTCTCAGCAGATAACAGAAAGAAAAGTATTGAATATTGTGATTAGGGGCAATTAATCAGCATACACGCACAATTCTCTCAGCAAATAACAGAAAGAAAAGTATTGAATATTGTGATTAGGGGCATCATCTTGACGAATTGGTTCTCTATTTGATTTAGGGTTGGTATTGCGTTCACATGCTGCGGAATGGTTCAGTGTGAACAATGCTTATCCAAGCGCCAATAATGAATCTCATTTTTTATTTTTACTTTTTTATTTAAATAAGATATTTCATATGAAGTTTTTTGGTTTTAAGTTCATTTTTATAAGTAAGCTTGAATAAGAAGTACAAAAATATTCTAAATAAAAAATATTGACCAAAATAACTATTTTGGTCAATTTTTATTTAAAATATTTTGTAATCATTTTTATTTAGTTACTTTTATAAAAATTCTACACTCCAAAATTCAGATAAATATATTATTTATATAAAAAATAAAATACAAGATTAATTTTCAGTTGTTGGATATGGCCAAATGAGATCTCAACCATTGAAAGGGTGCATAAGCACTCTTGTACCCGTCCACGTGAGGCGGATGGATACTTTTCGTTGATTTAACTCATAACAATCTCCTTTTCTTTAACACTACTCTCAATACCTTTTCTTTAACACTACTCTGAATACCTTTATACCGCATTTTTTTTTTTTTTTTTTTTTAACATTCTAAGCCCCTATACTTTTTCCATGATCAACAAATTGGAAGTTTTCAACTCTGCAATTTGTATATGTACAAAAAAGTTAAAATTTACATACAAGAGTAGCAAGGCTGCTAATATAATAAAAAGGCCAAAGGCTCTCAAAACATTGACAAATAGCAATAGCGTCCCGGGAATCTACAAATCCTCACATTTTTCTTTTCCTCCTCAAAGTAGGCATTGCTTTTAAACCTGTCTCAGGTTGCTGAGATTTTGACTTCTCCAGGGCCTGAAAATTAGGGTTATCATTTGTTTGATTGCGTTCCTCCTCGTCCTTATCCTGAAAATCTTCCTGTTGAGGCCCATTTGCATTTGCAGGCTGAACCTCACTCACTGATCTTCCATGCAAAATTGGCTCATGATCCCAAGTTTGGGCAGCACCAAAGGCCTGAAACCATTCCCAATCATATAATTTATAGCGACAAATATATAATTTTGTTTTGGAAGACCTGGTGAAAACAGAGCAAGACTTCTTGTTTTATTTTTTGAGTTTTATTTGATAATTTCCTCATATGAGTTTCAAACATAATTGACAAGGTGAGTATTTTAATATATTCATAGATCAAAATCAAAAACAAATTTCCTAGAAACTTTGATATACAAGAAATACAGAACTAATATTCTTGTTTATTCTACTTATTTCTTCAGTGTCTTCAATCTAATTCCCTTAAAAATTTATCTAAATGAGAGTTTCAAAATGTTCAAAGAGACTACCTCATCAAGTAATTCTCGAGAACGAGATTTGTTACTATTGTTAGCAATAATAGTATCAACACATCCCAGAACCGGCTCATCTAGGTCACTTCGGGGTTCAGCCTCTTCTGGGCAGAATCCACCTCCCATAGAAAGGTAATCTTTTGAGGAACTCCCGTCCACATTCTCTACTGCTACTTCATGATTAATACTATGAATTGCTCCAACTATTCCCCCACAAGAAGATGGATCTCGCTCATGTCCCACTTCCGCAATGTAATCAGAGTCACTTTGATTCAGGGAATCCCCAGCTCCTGCATATTTTACATTCTTCTTTGGCCGCGCTGACTGGAAAAAACAAACACGAAAAAAAATTATAAATGAGCAATACCATACCAATAATATGTGTTAAACAAATAGACCGGAAGAAACAGTAATATGCTTTTGTTCAGAAAGTTAAATCAATGTATCAACACAGACTCCTTGACAAGAAAATATATTTAATTTTCAATAAAAATATATCAATTAATATTTGTTCACTAACCCCTTCCATAGTGGAACTCACTGCAGTCTAACCCAAGCAATTCGATGAAGAGTAATTTATAGGACTAAAGTTAAAGAATATTATTGGCCCCAACATCAAGCAACTAGCCCAAATTTGAGAGCTTACGTAGGATGGTGCTATCTCTTCATGCACTTGGTATGTGAGTCGCAATGTTGAACGAGTCATAAATTGCACATTTTAAAGCAATTTTGCTGCACTGCTATTAAATAGTTTGCAAGAATAATTTATTTGGCTTTCCAAGATCTAGCAATTGTTGCTTCAGAACAAATAGAAGTGATTATTTTACTAGAAAGGAAAAAAGTATGTGATTATTCTCACTAAAAAACAATCATTACCTATAAAGGAAAATAAATTCATACATATCAAAAGACATATGACTTACCCTTCGCAGCACAGGGAGCTCCATTTGACCAAATCTGGTTTTTTCATTACATTCTTCACCATCGCAAGAGCTGGTCTCTGATGGTTTGGCATTGTAGCCACCTTTCATCCCCCTTCCCCTTCCTCTTCCTTTACCATTCCCTCTCTCTCTTCTCGCTTTCTCTCTAGTGGTGGTCCTCTGCTTCCTCTGCTGCTTTGAAACTTGATTTCCTGTACACTCCTCATCGTTTCCCTCAACAAAGGTGTCATTATTTAAAACTTCAGCAAATGCATCTTCATTCGAATTTGGTGGGCTCTTCCCTTTTCTTCGTTTGGGTTCACTGGAGGTAGAAGCTTCTTTACTTCCAGGCACATGCATCATCTCCGAGGATCGGTTGCCCGTAATTCCTTTGACAGCTTTTTGGATTCTCTTGCTACGAATTTTTGCAAACTTCTCATTGAAGGTGTAGAATGCTTCTAAACGCAACTGGGTCTGTATAAGGGCAGTTGAATGAAACACAAGTCAGGTAGATAAAGCAAACAAAGCCATACATATCACAAGTACAAACAGTAGAACACATGATTTTTCTATAATTCAGCTAATGCAACACCTCATTCATGTCTCGATAACAGAGAGAGAGAGAGAGAGAGAGAGAGAGAGAGAGAGAGATTTAACAACACAATCGTATGATCTTTGTCATTCATTAGAAAACAACAATCAGTTACAAGTATAAAGGGTGGACGGGTACCCACATGTTAAAATTCTGAGAATCTACAAAAAAGAATAAGGATAGATATTTTTCCTTCCATCAAAATCGTGAATTTGGTAATCCAAGATATTTAGAAACAGGCATGCTACTTGTGGATCTTAGGACCTTCATCTCGTGATCGAGAACCAAGGTTCAAGTATGATATCAAAGACATCAGGAGTTAAATGTTATGTCACACAGCATTAAGTTTGAGTGCTAAACCCAATCTTACCAACGCGTATGTCCACATATCCACAAAGAAATGGAGTTGCATAACATATAAAATGACGTATTATGGAGCACTCATGCATTACCTGTGCAATCTAATCTTTCTAGTGGTTAGTGGGCACAAGCTATTTTGGCTTCATCTTATCAATAGAATTCCTACCAGAAGTTATTGGTGATGTCTCTCCTGTTAAATTCTTAAGCGGCTAACCGGTTAGAGACCATATGATTCCACAGTGCGTATTTTTTGGTGTACTTGCGTTGTCATGACTACGTGTTTTTGGGCGTTCTAGTTTTGTCATGTTGAGTAGTACTCAACGGAATAAACTAGTACTTGATCCGTTCAATGTGTCTTTGTGGGATATGACACCACTCAAAAAGTTATCATTGCTATGAACCAAAATAAGATAAACTACATCGTCAGAGCCTTTTCCACCTAACTGGGGTCGGCTATACGAATCTTGTCCGCCATTATTCTACTCTATTAAGGGTCATACCTTCAGTGAGGCCACAAGTCCCCATATCTTTTCTCACTACTTTCAACTATGTCCTTTTGGGTATATCCCTTGCCCTTTTCAAGCCTTCCACTTGAACTAACTCAAATCTCCTAACAGGTGTTGTACTGAGTCTGCGCCACACATGGCCAGTCCATCTAAGTCTACTCTCTCATCTTATCGTCTATTGGAGCCACACCTAAATTTTTCCGAATATATTCATTTCGAATTCTATCCCTTCTTGTCTTGCCACTCATTCATCTCAACATCTTTATCTCCGCTACATTCATTCTATGGGTATATTGTTTTTAGACCGCCCAACATTCCACCCCATAGAGCAAAGCTAGTCTCACAAATGTCCTATAGAGTGGCAATCACATAAAATTTAGGTTGCACATCTCCACTTCGCCCACCCAGCTCTAATTTTATGTGTGACATCTTCATCAATCTCTCAATTTTCTTGGATTTTCGACCCAAGATATTGAAAGTGCGCTCTTTTTTGTATTTCCTAGCCGTCAATCTTAACTACTTTCTCATCTCTACTCCTATTATTACTAAACTTTCATTCCACATACTTGTCTTAATCCAACTAATTTTAATACCTTTAGATTCTAGAGCATCCATCCAAAGTTTTAACTTTGTGTTGATGTCGTTTTGGGTCTCATCGATTAAAACTATGTCATCCACGAACAACATGTACCACAGCACCTCATCTTACAGGTACCTAGTTACGTCGTCCATAACTGAAACAAAGAGATATGAGCTCAATGCTGACTCCTAATATAGACCTATTGTCACTGAAAACTCACTCATTTCTCCATTAATTGTTCGTACACTAGTTAGCGCTCCATCATACATATCTCTCACCAAGTCGCTGTAGTGTCAAAAGATTCCTTTATTTTTCAATACCTACCAAATCAAATCTCGAGGTACTCTATCATAAGCTTTCTCTAGATCAATAAAGACCATGTAGAGGTCTTTTCCCTTCGCTCTAAACTTCTCAATCAATTGCCCAAATAGGAAAGTAGCATTAGTTGTTGACCTCCTCGGCATAAAACCGAATTGGTTTTCTGATACACTTTATTTCATGCCTTAGTCGTTGTTCAATCACTCTCCCCCAAAAGCTTCATAGTGTGGCTAATAAGTTTGATCTCTCGATAGCACAATTATATATGTCTCCTTTATTCTTGTAAATAGGTACCACAGGTCTAAAAAGGGCGAGGACCATAAATTTTCCCTTAATAATTTTCAGAAATCAAAGTGTAAGGACTGCAAAGTTATATCAGCACAGTTTGAGAATATTTTAATGCAGATCAATGATCCAATTAAAAGAAAAATGAGAAGTACGAACTTCATTCTTACAGATGCCGCTTATCCTAAGAGGGAGAGGACAATCCAGGAAACTACCGGTTCCATCAAAATGCAAACAGAACAGAAAATAGTCCAAATGTGGAGAATTTGTGATCTGGCTTTATTTCTCTTTATTGTTCCTTGAAAATATTTGTGTTTCTTTACGGGGATTGGAAAATAAATTATGAGACTTCAAAGGCATCGTATATTGCGAACAATATATTATGGCACATGTCACCATCTTATACATATCATGCCTGTTTTTCATACCAAATACAGCAACAATGGATGAGCAATCTACACAACCAATTCTGAACTTCAGAATCATCTTGCGGACTCCATGTCCAGATCCAAGATGCAAGAGTTTACTAAAACAGCGGTTCATCTTTCGAACTTATCACAAATACAGGAACAATAAGTAATCAGAACTACAGTCTTACCTCATGGCGGTTATGCTCCCTTAAAACTGGAAGGAGCAATTCATCTGCCTTCTGGCTAGGCCAACCAAACCTTTCCCAACATAACCTGCAATTATTCTATAATTGATATGACCAATCGTGTAATACAAATACATAGAAGGAAGTATTCTAAACCCTCAAAAGACAGCCACAAATAGGGAAACGAATTTGCAAACAAGAAAAACCTATCTTAAGCTTCAAAATAAGATTGCACATAAATGCCCATTTCGAGTATGTAGATTTCTAAGCTGAATCACAGAACCACCCACCTTGTCAGTTGACCAGTATTTTCTATTTTAGACAAAGTAACCTGGTGAACGTTCCTTCACAATTTAAGCAAGAAAGGTTACTAAAGTATTCATTTCAGTAATTTTCTCAAGAAATTCTTTACTCTGTATATTGAATAAACAGTATGCATTTATCAGAAAAGAGATTCCCTAAATAACAGAATCCACATCATTCCAGAACCATAAAAACCCAAAATACAAGCTACTCTCAGAAATCTGTAACTGTTGCCATATCAAGAAGTTGAAAAGTTAACAAATCAGAATTGACCACTCACTTCCGAAGAAAAAGCAAATCAGGCTTTCCCCACAAAAACGGCTCTGTTGATTCATCGACTTGTGGGGATTTATAAGCAGAAAGAACAGACTCACTGGGGAAGGATGAAGGAATACACCAGTTCTTGCTCACATTTCTCTGGATAAAAAAAGCATGACAATTAAGAGCACTGTCAAGAAACTATCAATAAGATCGACCAAATAGAAAGTTTAAAAAGCTTTTTCCTTTTGGCCAGTACAAGGAGAAGAGAATAACAGAGATTACATGCTTCTCCATGAAAATCTGTTTCAGGTTTGCAATATCCTCAGATTCTTGATCAATATTGCATCTCCCATCACTATTGTCATCAAGAAGAACATCCCCCATGCTTTCACAGACATCTTCATCCTTTTTACTTTCTTTTGATGATTTTTTTCGAGTTTCCTTGCCAGTTTGAGCATGGACCTTGTTTAAAATGGAAGGATCTGGAGATTCAAGCCATTCTCTGAACTTCTGGAGACCACCCTCCTCAGGAAATGCATTTACAATTTCAATAGCATTAACAATACCAACACCACTGACAAGTAAAGTCACAGAGTCAAATTTTGAACAAGTAATATAACATCAGCATGACTACTCAAGAGAATATGATTTTTTTTCATACTCAAAAGGATTTCATATGCTAGCAGAATTATCAAACGAAGAGAATATGAAAGAGCACCGAAAGGATCAAAATAAGTTCCTACAAAAACCCAATTACTCTCCATATACACAAGACTCATGAAAAGAGGAAAAACATAATGCACATGGTTCAAAACATTCTTTATAACCCACAATTTCTTTTTTCTTTTCTAAGATTTTATAGTTAGAAATTCACTAATGTAGAGGTTTACAAACAATGTTCAACTTTACCTGATACCTTCAGTATAATCACTCCCAAGAAGCAAAGCCATTCGGATAAGCTTATCTCTGGTTAATCCAAGCTCATTCTCCACATCCTATGAGGGAAAAGAAAAAAGAACTTACATAAGCAATGTATTGCATAAATTAATCAAAAACTCCATGAAACTCATGAGTGCCATATAACTTCTAACCACAAAATATCTCATGTCAGTTGAAAAAGGACAATCTGAAATCCCCACTAGACTGAATACATATTTGCAAGTTGGTTGCTGCATATGGAAACTGATACCAGGGTAAAAAAAACAAAAGTATGAAACATCTATAGGAGATCTTGAAAAATATGAAAACATAGATGACTGTGAAAAGGTTAAAAAAGCTGACCGCCCCTCAACGGTAAACACCACGTAGAAAGGATAAAGAAACCAATTAAACTACAAAAAAACAGAATAAATTATTTGAAGGGAAAAAAAGTCAAAACAAAGAAAAGATGAAAGCAACATGCAAGCAGCCTACTAGAGAAGGAACAGAAAGCTGACAGACTACAACCTTTATAAGGTACATCTCGACATATTTTCGGTCATCAAAAATATTCTTGTATATGCTACGCGCTCCAAATAAGAAAGCATCAGAGTCATCAGTCACAACCCCATCAACGAGATTACTTAGCTCCATATAGGCACATTGTGCTTCAGCTTCCATAGGTGCAATAATATAAGGTAAGCCAAACATTTGAAGCAGCTCCTGTCAATAAATAGAACAAGCTAAGTGCATATTTAGGTGAATGTATTGTCTAAATAACATCAGGTGATTTACTGATTTCTAGCACTTGACAAATTACGTCATCTAAATTGATTCAAGATACAAAACAAAGAGAAAGAAATTAACTTCTCATGCTACAATAAGAAAGTAACCATTAATCAACAGAAGAGAGAGATGGTCCAGGTTTACAGTGATCAGCCCATAGTGCAAATTTTGGGAAAGAAGATGCTTATAAACAGAAACTCTTTCCAATCCTTACCCTGTTATCAAATAAAATAAAAGTATTATGAAAACCATTCATAGGCAGGCTTCGCATGGGGAATCCCAGTATCAAAACAGAACTTACCTTTCTTTGGCAAAAATTGGGTATTGTTCCAAATGGTGGCAATGCTCTAAGAGCTTGGGACAACCAACTTACCCACGGTAGAACAAAAAGGATGGATTATACTCAAAGGAATCTTTCTCATTCATCTAGTTCCCTTCTTTTCAATTGATCAAAAACAGTAATCAGAGGCAACTCAGTCAATTATTTCTACATGTATGATAGTTAAAAATTAAAACTTAATGGATCCATCCCATGTACCCATGTGAGATAGCAACAAGGGAAAAGCAGTACAACAATGAGTAGTATGAAGGAACATGGGTTGGGAACCAGTCTAGGATTGAATATAATTTTACTCATCAAGAATAATTTGAACAAGATATACAACAGAGAAGAGAGATAAGAAAGTTAAACCACAATAGTCACTCAGGGCCCAACGAAGTGGAAAAACTACATTCTTTTGAGGTAGTACAGTGGCAGCACTGGAATTTAGGAAAGGGCCTGGCAATGGGCAGGCCCGGTATGCCCAATTACATCTTAGATGATCGATGTGTAGACAGGAACCGGCCTGGCCCAGCCATGAACTGCCGAACCAGGGCCCAGCCCAATACGAATCTGGGAAGAGCACTTTAGAGCCAGCCCAACCCTTCACAGCACATATGTTGGCCCCGTGCCAAGCTTAGCCAGGCCAGGTTGGGGAACCCGGCCCATCACCATGCCTACTTAGGATGTAGTGTACAAGCATGAACACCTCAACCAAAACCAATCAAGCTCACACTTTAAATCTTATTATAAAGATTATATTATTTGCATATATTAAGTTTTCAATAAATCTATGCTTCAAACACCATTAAGGGCAAGGTACAAATTAGATGCTATGTGAGACGATAAATTGATGTTGTTAAAATAGAAATCAGTTAAAGTATCGTATTCCAAAGCAGGTCAACAAAGAACGAACTTTTATGTGACCGGGGGTCAATTTCACAAAGAGCACGAGAAGGCAAGTCATGTCATTCATCAGTCACCAACACAGCAAATCATGACCAGTTACCCCTGAACACAAAAACAATTAATAAAGAAATAACTTATCAAAAAGAAAAACATGGTCTATGCATGTGTAATTGGAATATACAAACATCTACGATCATAAAAGAAATGCTTGGTCTGAAGTCTCAAGACATACCTGACACTCTGCAAACATCTCGCTGCTAGCATATTCAGCATTCCTCTCAAGCTTTCTCTGTTGATCACCCAAATCAAGCTGCTCTTGTCTCAATAGAGATATTTCTTCATCCAATGTATCCTGAAACTCCATACGGTCTTGAAATTCATTCACATCCTTATGGTAATCTTCTTGATCAGCAAGAAGGTCTACTTCTACAGCATTTACCTCCGTTTCCTTTGCATCATCAGATAACTCCTTTTCCTTCGATGAAGATATTTTGAGATCAAGATCAGCTTCTTTAGCACTAATCTCCCTATCCTTTATATCATCAGATAACCCCTTCTCCTTCGATGAAAACTCTTTAATGTCAACAGGAGCATTTTCAATATCACAATGATGTTGTGAAGATAACGAATGATGCAAATTATTTAGTGGAGTATCACCACTAAATGCATCAAACACATTGCTGGCCATGATAGCAGGTACATCAGAATTGACATTAGGAGGCCCCTCTAACTCAGAAACAATTTCCTGTTTCCTAAAGTCAACCACGAGTTCGTCTTGCATAATTGAGCAGTTTTTATGGGACTGTAGTTTTTGGTCTTGGTAGGCATCTGACAAGACAGGTCCAGCAATTTGATGCTTAATCCCATCTTGTTCAGATCCCATCCTGGTATGAAGTGATGCTTCAAACTGGCTCCCAGTCAAAGGAAAGTCCAACAGAACTGAATTTCCATCAATCTTATGCTCACCATCTTCAGAAGAAATTATTTTATTGCTCTCTTTACAAATATCAAATCTTTGAATGGAAGGCTTTGGAGTCTCCACTTCCGAAAATAGGTTGATGCATTTTCCTCCACTGTTTTCCTGTAGACTCCTCCTTATTGCCTCCTGGATTTCAGCTTCTTCAGCCAGACTTCCTTTTGAAACAGTTTGCTTAGTTTCAATAGGAGAGTTAGATGTTTCAACAGGTAAATCACAGGTCCCATCTTCCCAATCGACCTCCCCTTCATCACTGCCGTTTGATGCCTCAACCTGAGATGGATGCGACTCCTCCATGGATGCAGTATTTTCAGCAACCAAACTTGTAAAGAACTCATCCTCATCTTTCCCATGGCCAACAAATTCATCTTCTGAGAAGGAGATCTCTATGGCATGAGTGCCTCCAAGGGTAGAGCATGTATGAAGAAGATTGTTCTCATCCATCTGTATTGAATCCCCATTTCTGCCTTCAAACAAATCTCTTTCATTATTTTCCTTCAAACTTGAAGCTTTTTTAGGGCAGATAGAACTGGGAGCACCCTTGGCAACTTCATCATCAGTGGTGGCAACCAGGCCCACCATATTATTTGTTTCTGTACTCTTCACTTGCTCAAGTTCTTTCATCATTTCCAAATTCCATTGCAGATCACGAGTCATTCGAATCCCCATTCCCCTTAATCTGCTAACCCTAACCCGTCCCCTCTCATCAAGGTAAGTCTCTACTGCACCATCCAATTCCCTCTCAGATTCATCAATGGCAGCTCTAGTGTTAGAGCTGAAACCAATTGTAGATGGGATAGATTCCACAGGTTGAAATTTAGAATTAGTCCCTTGCAACTGATGCTCAGTATCTCCACTGCTACTGACCCCAGAGGTACTCAGCACACTAGAGGACAATTCAAAGGTGTAAAGTAATGAGAACTGGAGATGTCAGCAAGCACCGACAACATAAACATGTACAAAGATTAGGAAAAATTATGCAAGAAAACATTATAAACAAGTATCTGATGTAGCAAGGTATGCCGTACTCCAAATGGAAATTTACCATCTTCTGATGAAGGATGATAAACTGGATTTCAGGAAATATCTGTGCTATGCAATTTGGAGAATGAAATAAAACTGAACTGAAATTCAAGTTTGTGAATCAAAACTACGATTATGAACATGCAAATGTTCCTGACGGAATTCAATAATATCTCGTTAGAACCATAGTTTTAAATCTACCATTCCAAAACATTCCAAGGAGCTTGACATCAAGGTCTCAACATTGCCTCAATCTCTATGACCATGTAATATTCAGGATTGCTTCCTTAAACAATAGACATTCAGCACAAAGTCCAAAGTCACCAAACTCAATTCAAGCCATAAAGTAAGTTCAAAAATGTTACCAAGTCTAAGAAAGCAACCAATGTGACAACATTTTTCTTAGCCGGGAAACATTTAAGGGCAAGTGTACTGCTTGTACAATGAGAAGAAATCTAAATCAAATGAACTTACTTCTTGTCACCACTATAAGATGATGAAAAGATGAACTCTCTGTTGCTTTCAGATGCAATCCTGGAAGCTGGCAATCCACCAACTCCCCTTCCACCAGCAAATTTCTGCACTTCATTTATCTCCCGACGAAAAGCAACTGTTTTGAGATAAGAATGTATCTGTAGCTCAGAAAATTTTGAGGGTGCCTGGAGAAAACGGATCAATAAATCAGTCTTTATAAGCCCCAACATATGACGAATCGAAACACTACACCCCATAAGCTAACGTCAAATTCTTAAGGCATTCAATTCAGAAGGAACACAGGATATGCAATTTCTGCCTATTTTTAAGACATCATCACGAATGTGATATGCATTACTCAGTGGACCATGGAAAATCATACTCCGTCAGGATCATCAAAGTCCAATGAAATATTAGATGGTGATGGAGAGAAGTACCCATCAGAACAGGACAGAACACCCTACTGGGAGTCCCACTCTCCCTCCAAAACTGTCCATCTCATTGGATAGTCGTAACTATAATGAATTAAGGTCTTCATAGCTGGCAGGGATAGGGCAGACTTTCTGGGCTCTAAATAGGTATCAGATAACACTTCGTAGCCCTTTAAAATTTCAAAACAACTCTAGAGATGACAAAGAATCTACCCAGAAGTAAAAGTCACAATCTGCATTTTGTAAAACAGAAGTAGAATCGTAACATGCAGAATTGAAATGAGAATCAAATGATCCAAACCAAAATCCCACATCTTATTTAATAGATGCTACTTTAGGTAAAAACAACCTAGTTCAGTTAGAACAAGGTTCCTACACTCAGAACTCGGACTCGGACTCGACTCGAACTCAACAACATTCCAAGGAGTTGAACAAACTACCCATTAAATAGGGGTATATTGTATATCTTGGAATAACATGGGGCAAAATGATGATATAACCCCTTAGATGATCGACTTTGATGGTTTTATGTTTTCTACTTTGCCATCATCTATAGAAACTAACAGCTAAAATAACTCACAAAAAGGTGCTCACCTCCAGGAATAGCATGCAAGTACAACTCCTTAAGATTATATCAATGGTAGAATACAAAAGAGAACTAATTACATAAGAATTTATAACCCTATGCACAAAGGATTCTCAGTCATGACCCAATGACAGTTATTTGCTCATATGACCGATATCTACTTAGGGGAAGCATGATAAGGCTAGTTATGCTTTGAATCCCAACTACATAGGCATGCGAGAAGGCATATGGTTTGAGATGGTTGAGATATTTCTTCTATTTTATATTCATAATTTGCAATTTCCTATTTTCATGTGCTGTTTCCTCCCTCAACATATATTGAATCATGCATATACTGTATTTGATAGGGATAGCTTTTTCACAATTTGTATTGCACAAGGTTATTTTATTCTTCCTATTTATGATGTTATGCAAAAGAGAAAGCCTTGTTCTTCATCATTATGACAGCAAAGAATAATGCTGCTCAGTATCCCTAAATCCTAAAAGTCCATTATAGTTCCCAATATTCCTATAAGCTTCCATAAATAATTGTATCCAAACTTTGAAGAGATAAAAATCACCATAAATTACATTGCTACATCAGTTCAACTGAGCAGGTCCACCTAAAGTGCACTATCATTAATTTATGTGAAACGTGACATAGACATTTCATATAACTAAAGTTAACAAAACCTAGTTTATCAGAATTTTGCCAGGTTAACTTGTTTACTCATAACCTTCCAGTTAATATAACTTGTGTGTGAAACGACTAAATTAAGTATTGCTTAAAAGAGTAATTACTCTAAAACAGCATTCATAACCATCCCATAGAAAGACATCATGTAAAAGGAGAAGGATGAAGAATCACAAAAAAGCCACAGTTAAAATGATGGATTCCACATGGCTACTTCATAAAGCAGATGAATATTTTACCTTCTTAACCTTCTGATACTTCTGTCTGTTTTCTGCCATCAATTGCTCTCTCATCTGTACATAAAAGTATTACAGCTCAAAACGAACTAACTTATTTGAGTTAGATAGTCACATTCAGTAACCAGCTGAACTCTATACCACTTACCTGAACCAGAAGATCTAGTTGCATAGATGGAGGCAATGCTGCCAATATTGCTGGGTCAACTTTTCCCTGTCCTGTTGGCTGAAAGAGAAAAGACCATGTTTGGTCATCAAACTCTAAAAGTTTAAGTGAACATGGTATATAGTGATTACTAATTCCTTCTATTCACATTCTGCCATGCCCCAACATTTTGTAATGTACTGCAATTGATCTTTTTCTCATTAGTATCGTGTTGTTAGTACATTTTTCAAGAGATATGTATGGTGGGGGTGTTGATACATGGCATAAGCATGCACATAAAAATACATGCAACACATGCATGCAGTGGAGCACACCAATAATATGAATATATATGCATATATGCGTATAAGTATGAGTTTTGTGTTGGTGCATTGTCTGTGGTGTACCGATAAATAAGTTCCCCTACGTTTTGCGAAAATCATGTGTTCAAAATCTTTAGAACAAACTAGTAATCCATGGTAAGGGGCCTATAATAGTAGTGCTATCACAAATCATCAATGCTGCAACATAACATATCAGCACGGTAACATGGATTCATGAATGGCTTCCTAGTGGGCTGCATATACCAAAATCTTAGTATTTTGCTTTCATAGTTCCATTTGGTCGTGCTTAACACACCTTCAAACCTGCTTCTGAAGTTCCTTTTGCAAAATAAAATTCTTAAACCCAATTCCATCATTAGCAGTAAAAAGAAAAACAAGATAATCAAATTCAAAAACAAAGATTAACAAAGGCAGATACTTTTGTCCAGACCATACCCAAGGAGCACATAAAAAAAGGGAGCGCCTAGAGATTAAACCCTTAAAAATAGCATTGCAAGTTCAACATCAATGATACAGACAGCCCCTAGTGCATCTCATACTCTAAATATTTAATTTTCTCTACACAATCCAAACCAAGGCAAAATTGGCTCAATTTGATGTGGTTGAGATAAACCATACAAAAAATTTAAATAAGGGAAAGGCAATATGCAACGGAATCAGGAGTGAATAAAATGATATAAAACAGATAGCGATGGAATATACTATGCTACAGACAACTACTTACAAAGATCATTTCCTCACTCTCATCCAGGTTGTCTTCCTCTTCAATGGGAACCCCAGCAGCTGAGGTTGATGCCTCGCTAATAAACGCACCATCTTCTTCAGCAGCAAGAGAAGCTGCCAACCTTCATCGAAACAGATCAACTGAATAGTGTCATAGCTAGTAGCATCGATCAAAAAAGGAGTAGGGAATACAGATATTAGCACAACAAGCAGCAATGTAAGAAGTAAGAAATACAAATATTAGCACAACAAGCAGCAATGCAAGACGGATATAGAGAAAGATGAATGTGAAGCTCTAAATATATGTTCTCCTAAAGAAAAAGCACAGGTATGGATTTAGTTGGTAGCAGACACAGTGATTAGGTGCACAAGCAAGGCTACATGGCTATGGTGTAGCACCAGCATAATGATTGATCAACAATAGGCTTCATTTTCTATGTGGTGCCTGTGCTCATTGGCTTTGGATTTGTAAAAATGTTGTCGAGAAGCATGTGAGTGTAAACACTTGGGTACTTATGTGCAAGAAAAACAATGCCTGCTCTGTTGATTCTAGATTTACAACTCTACATTATACCATACAGAATATTAAAGTTGGAAGTGCATAATTCAGATTTCCAAATACAAATGCAATCGTCTGAAAAATTTTGATTTTTCAAACATACGATTCAGTTGGCATAAGTATCAGATGACACAATAGGTCGTAGAAACAAGACATTGGTTAGTTACGTCTCATAAACATCACTGATATAATCAAAACAATGGCCAAGTACTAAGAAGTGTGCAAACCAGAATCAATCTAGATTAATAGTGAGGGAAACATAGTCGACGATCAACAATGCCTCTTAGTATGGATAAATCCAAAATTCCAGAAAAATCTATAAAAGTATTAGCCTCCAGAATCTTCATAGCGTTGAAGAATGCATTCTCAAATTTGAGATACTCAAAATATCACCAAAGGTTCAGACACTAGGTTAACCAGGAGACTCTTCACATATACTTTTCAGATGGGAAAACCCTCAATCCAGCAAATAAATGCTACACCCACAACTGAAACTGGTGTCAATCATAGCCTTCACTATTCCCATTAAGAGGATCAAAGTTTTTCAGGGAAACCTGTGCAATGTGAAACTTTGAAAGCAGGATTATTATGAAAAGGGAACCATAATGTACTTCTTTTAAAAGCACGGTAGAAATCTTTAGCCGGAATGCTCAATTTATTAATCTGGTCTTCTTCACCTCAAGTATCATCAGCGAGAAAAATAACTGAAAGTTTTGTGACTACTCTACCATACCAAAACAATCAACCACAGATCAAAAAAGAATAATATAAAAGAAAAAAGCAAGAAAAATAATTATCTCTACTAAAACTATAATGATGAAAAACAAAATACATCAATACTAGTAAAGATGGAGACATAGGATGGGAAATGAACCTTACAATGCATCTGCATTGTCCTGGTTGTAAGCTTCTTTCACTCCCTCCTTTTCTTCCTCTGCCACCAATTTAGAGGGTTCAGTCACAACCCCTTTTCCCTTTGCTCCAATTTTCTTCCTCCCTACTGCAAATTCTTTAGCTAATTCTTCTAACTTCCGTTTCTTGAGCTACAGATCAAAATAATAATAATAATAATAATAAACAATCACAACAATAATTATAACAGACAGATAAACAATTGTAAACGCGTATTGACGATCTTAAACACCCCAAAGCCTGGGATTTATCTCGCATGTAAATTGAAGTCATTAGTTGGCTCAAAAATTGAAACTAATACCAAAGCACTATGAACTCTCAAAAATAATAGCAAATATTTATAAACTGATATTGAAACCCCTGCGACAGCCGAAAAGGTTCCCACCTCTATAGTAGCAAATTCTAACTGAAAACTTAAGAAGCGTCAACAGAACAAATTATTCAAGTAGAACTGACGGAAAAGTCATGATTGCAGAAGGAATGTCGCGCTATAGTTTCTCTTGCTTCTCCTGAACAGACATAACAAATTTGCAGTTCGCAGCAAACAAAGAATAAAACACAAAGAGATAGAGAACACGAAGAGATAGAGGTGTAGTGTGAGAATAAGCAGCTTTTAAACCCAAAACGAAGAAGGATTCAAAGAACTCACATGATTGAGGAGCAGCTTTTCCGCAGTTTTCCTGATCTTCGCCTGCGCATTCTCCCTCTGCCTCCTGCGGGCAATCACAGTGCGTCTCTTCAGGGCCGGCGTGCCCCCATCAAACACAAACACCGGCTTCGTCCTCAAAAACAAGAGCTTACAAATTCGCCTGAAAAACCCTATCAAATGGGCATTCTTCACCATCTCCCCCCTCTCATCTCTCATCGCCTTCATAAACTGAATTATCCAAATGCTCGCATCTGACACAATGATAAAAAAAAAAAAGTAAGCAAAACGGCCCGAAAATTATCAGAATGACCGTGAAATTCAGCACAGTGATCAGAAAATTTAGCGCCGGAAACCTGATCAGAATTGTTGGAGAAGAGCGAAAGTATGGGAAAGATGAATTAGATGTGGAATAAAGGGGGAATTTACCGATTGCTAGTTTTTTTCCGGCTAAGTTTTCGACGGAGAGGCGGCGACCAACTGGAGCGAGAAGGTCCCAAAGGCCATGAACTCCCATCTCTCTCTCCCTACTCTGTGTGTACGCCGCAGCGCGGCTCGGCGCGAAGGACTCGAGCTTCTAAGTTTTATGACTTGGGAAAGGTTTCTACGCTTCCCCAGCAGCGTACAAGTTCTATTATCCCCCGCACCATCCTTGCGATAAGAGAGTCGCTCCCGTGTCATCTTAGCCCCGTCTTCTCAAAGTATTATTTTTTATTTTTTTTTGTGTTTAAGTAATGATTTTATAAAAAAAAAATTTGTTGGAACTCAAACGATTACCATTAAATTTGATACACATCTCTAAAAAAAAAATTATTACAAATATGGAATTTGACTTTTCTAAAAATATATACTAAATTTAATAATAATCCTTTGAAAACATATACACATGAGTGTGGGAAGATCTCATAGGATCATTACTCTTTTTAAATACAAATTGTATGAATATGGAATTTAGTATGAGCCATTTTGGGGCACCTATAAAAAATATTAAAAATAGTTTTTGGATAAACTATAATAATAAAAATACCCTTTGAAACTTTGAAAGGTATTTTGGTGAGGACAAGCTTTCTATGCTTCCCTTACGGCATAGAAGATCTATTCTCCCCTTATCCAACCGTCCATTCTGAATGGAGAGCTAAGATTGCTTCAATCACAATGTCACGTTTCTACACTATTTTATTTTTAATTTGGTCTATAAATTATTTTGACACTAAATTTTGGACATCCCATTCCTCTATTAAACTCGCATTAGTGAAAAATATAAAAAAAAATATTTTCAATAAAATAAAATGACCAAAAGGAAAAGTTTATATGCTTCCCCTACAGCATAGAAGTTCTATCCTCCTCTTACCATCCAACCGTCTAATTTTGATCGAGAGAGCCATTTATCGTTTGATCTTAGATTTGACGTCTTAAAGCATTTTATTTTAAGTTTTTCTATACAAATTGTATGAATATAAAATTTGGTATTTGCCATCTTGTCATTGGGGTGCACCTATAAAAAATATTAAAAATAATTTTTCGATAAAATATAATGATCAAAATACCCTTTGAAACTTTCAAAGGTATTGGGATCATTTTATTTTATTGAAAATATTTTTTTTATATTTTTCGCTAGTGCGAGTTTAATAGATGAATGAATGTCCAAAATTTGGTGTCAAAAGTAGTTTACAAAAAAAATTAAAAATAAAAAAAATATAGAGACGTGACATTGTGATTGGGGCAATCTTAGCCCTCCATTCAAAATGGACAGTTGGATAAGGGAAGGATAGAACTTCTATATTGTAGAGGAAGTATAGAAAGCTTGCCCTTATAACTTACTCTATAGATCGTTTGGTTCATCGTGAAATTGTTTTCCCGAAAATATTTTCATATGAAAAGTTATGTGGTTAAGTGGAAAATATTTTTACATCATCAATTGGGGTAAAAAACGCATTAATACTTAGAGGCAGTTTGGATACCTAGAAATATATTGTATGTCAAATATATTACTAGCGTAATACATTACCGGTAAATAGATTGTTACTGTTTGGGTAGTATTTAGATGCAACTTGGGAAATACAAATAAATATAGGAAATGCATTACCAACATTTTAGCAGCACGTGCATATAAACTATCATTTCTTTATTTTTTGTCACAAAATTCCACTAAAATGCAAAATTATCATTTCCTTCTTTTTTGTCACAAAATTCCACTAAAATGCTGAATTAAAATCATCATCATACCATTCTAAAAAGATTTTTAATAATAACATCATCACCATTCCAAAAGGTTTTCTAATAATAACTTGTACCATTTTACAGTCATGATATTATTTCCTACTTATTTTAAGTGCCTTTGGCATTTATATGCAATCACATGTTTTCTAACATGACATTGGTTTCAACATGATAAGTCATTGGAACAATATGATTGGAATAACATGATTTTATTATGATAAACCTTATTTTTATTTATTTTTTATAGAAGTCTTTCAAATGTTTCTCTATATAATTTCAAATAAATAATAAATTTATGATACTAAATTCAAAATCTGTAAGGTACGAGTTAAAAAATGAGAAGAAGTTTGATTAGTAAATTAGAAGGTTTGGTAATTGCAATATAAAATTTTGAGGCATTGGAGGAGACTACAGAGGTATGTTATTTCAATTGAGATTTTAGTAAGGATTATGTTGTGTGAAATTTTTTATTATGATTGTGTTGTTTAATTTATCATTGTACTGATTTTATTTTTATTATTTTTTTTATATGACACTATACCTTGAGATGAGGAAAAGGGGATCATATTATGTTATGTGAAATTTTTTATAATAAAGAAAGATGGTTTAGAAGAATTTTTTAATCAAAGATAGGTTAAGCAAAAAAGTACGCAAAACATTTCTCAAAATTACCCATCACTCTTATAATAAATTTTTCACCGTAATGAATTTCCTGATTTTCGAGAAATCTCGCTGAATCCCTTTTCATTTTCTTACAAATTAAGTGTACCCAAATACTAAAAATGTCATATTTCCTTAAAAATGTCATATTTCCTTGTAATATATTCTCACGTAATAAATTTCTAGGTACCCAAACGTACCCAAACAATCCCTAATTGGTATGAAAATATGCGAATAGTTTAATACATGAGAAAAAAATTTCATGCGAAAATGTTTTTTTAAAAATAATCTCACGTGAACCGAACGTGCTACTACGAAACACGCTGATTTGTTGCGTACTCTCCCAACAGCGGCTGCACTTTCTCAAGCTAACCTGGTTACCATGGCAGGGCGCAGGAAAAAGTTTGTAGTTTACACAAGTTGCTAACGAACTCTTTTATCGAAGTGAGGTGCCCCTAAGTAACCTGGACGAAAAAGTTTTAAATAAGGGTGACGTCATAAACAGTTAATTAAATTAAATTAAGACCTACACCAAAAATTCGTTAGAAGATATTATTTTGATACTTAAAAGTCCTCAAATGATGTATAAAAATGAGAAAATTAGATTTCAAGTTTTAGAAATGGTGCATCTTGTAGTGTATTTCCTAGACTGTGAATTTTCAAGATTTTTAAGTATTTGTAAATCTTATTGATCTACGATAATTTTAAAGCTCTAAATTTTATGATAAGATATAAAAATAAAGTTCTAGCCATCACAAAGATTTCAGTATTGAAACAATATTTGTAACACTATTTAAAGGTGTGCATTGCTTTGAATGCTTAGGGCCTTGGCCCTATACAAATCACACCCAAAACTCAAAGGTTGTTCTAACATTAAAAATCTTTAATTGATCCCCTACCTCAAGATATATACGTGAATGAAAAAAAAAAAAAAAGGTTTCCAGTCCTAGAAATAGTACGTATTGTAATGTATTATTTGAACTATCTATTTTCAAGATTTTTAAGTGTATATAAATCTGCTAGATGTACACTATTTTTTAAGCTTTAAATTTAATAGGGGAAAGTATAGAATGAGACCATTGACCTTTTATATGAGGTGGTCACATTAACATTGACCATTGGATATGAAATTGGGTGGTTGCAATTATTCCATTGACCAAATGCAAACTTTCAAAGAAATTTTCTCAAACATTGTGACGCATCCAAACTATCAAATTTCACATCAAATAGTTGTAAAAAATTGTGACTACTTTGTATCAAAGTTAAAAGATCTCATTATATACAATCTCATTTAATAATAAAATATTAAAATAAATTTTCAGACCATCACAATAATTTATAGCAATAAAACAGCATCATTTGGAGGTGTTATTTTGATTACCTAGTCGTCAACCTTTTATGCACATCTCACCCTTCACATTCACATTCAAGAGTACAAAAGACAATTTGTAATCTGTAACATCAATTTTGAGTCCAACACTTTTTTATTCTCTATCTTTTGTGACACAATGTCCTTCCCGAGTCATGAAATAAAAATTCTCACAATTACGGGGTCTATTTGACATGGATTAAGCGTGAATGAACCACTACGTGATGTCTATGTATTCTAATTATTCTATTTTTATATGGTAGGGGCTCTCAAACAAACTTATACAATTTTTGTCTTGGGCAAAAACTTCCCCCTTCAAATAATTTTAATGTTCCCGCATAGCTTCAACTAAGGTCAACCTATTAGCCTCTAGTGGACGTATGTGAGTTGCACGAATTAGGGTAACAAAGACATTGAAAAGAAAAAAAATCAAAGAATAAAAATGTATAATATTATTATGAATTATTTAAATAATATTTGCTAAGAGTTGAAATATCCATTATTGAAAAAATATGGTACCTTCATACAAAGAAGAAAGCTACAGTTTAAAAGCAAACCTCACACACACACACACATATATATATATATATATATATATATATATAGTATAGTAATTAACTTAAT